CACCTCTTGATTGGCCTCTCTTTCTGTCCCCTGCTCCTGCCTCTCGCTCCTCCTCCTCTCTCCCAGCCTGTGTTCTCCCGCTACATTACCTTTGCCTACTGCCCTGTCTCTCTCACCCCTGAAGAAGGCTCCACTGCCGAACCGTTGTTTTTCTTTTTTTTTTCCAGCATGGAATAAACCTTACTTGTTCCTTTGCAGCCTACGCATGCTGATGCAGCTCCCCACCTGAACTAAAAGTACCATTGTCTGTTTTTGTGATGTGGGCCCATATAGCTGGGAGGAGTGTGTCTTTCACACTTAGAGGTGGAAGAACAGCAGGAGCAGAGGACACAGCTTCCTCCAGCGGTCTACAGAGCGACTGTCTCCGGCTGCCTGCCCTCTCCTGGGCAGGAGGAGCGCTGTTGAGCTGGCAGCCAGCCGGACTGGAGCTCCTCTCTGTCCTTCAGCCCTGGTCCTGCACCGTGCTGGAGGAGGGGTCATACGGCACAACCTGGCAGAACACACAGCCAGCCTCCTGGAAGGCCCGCTTCAGCTCCCCCTGGTGGCAGAACACAGAGCCCTCAGACCACAGGACAACCCGTCTACAGGCAGCTCGCCGGCAGGTAGAGTTTGCAGGGCTCCTCTCTATGCCCTCAGGGAAATGAGGCAGAGAAATCGGGGGCCTAATTCGAAATCTGAGACAGGTTTATAAACATTTTGTATGTACTTATTTATAAAAACATGACTGTGCCTGCAATGACCAGCATCCCAAATCTAACAGATCTCCCGAAGCCATGGGCCCTGTCACCTCTGTTTTGCTTTGACAGGTCCTGACAGAGGCACCACATGCCCCAGCTTCAGCTGGCGGGGGCCTTAGGAGTGATTCCTGACCCCAGCCAGACCCTTATCCCGACCCAGGCAGTGGTGTGAAGGAGAAAGGCAGGGATGTGTGAGACCAGCCCACTCTTACCAGCTTGTGAGGGTCAAGACAGAGTCCCACCACAGCTCCTCCACTGCCTGGCAGCTTCGCTGCTGAGCCGAACTGGGGAGACACACGAAACGCATGGTGACAAACCCTTGCACACCCTTCCTGCTCGAGTGAAGATCTGTAATGTATCTCTTTGTCTAACTGTGGAGTACAGTTAGAAGCTGATGGATCAGCATCTTGCCTAGTGAGGCTTTAATAAGTCTTTAATAATCATCTGTAATGAAATTCAGAACTGGCATCTTGGAAGCCGTAGCAAAGGCAGAAATGCCCAGATTAAAAGAAATTCAGCATTCAGCATAGGACCTGCTGTACCTGTCGTGCCAGTTCCACCATCTTCAGATTGCCCTGTCCCAGACACTCATCGGTGTAGACAGACCTGCGAGAGAGAAGAGGGCTGACTATGGCCCCGAGCCACGATTGAGCTCTCCTGCATGAGGAAGTACTACAGACGCAGGCGTCCGTGTGAGATCTGCATCCTCTCTCACTTCTGATCTTTCCAAAGAACAGAAAACGAGGCGGGGCAAAGTTAAGCAAGGGAAGTAATGATATATCTACAGACTGGCAGCTGCAGCCCCAGGGTATGCCAGTTTGAACCATTCCAGCTTTTACTGTAAGCTGCAGGCTCCTGTTATAAGTCAGAACAATGTGCTTT